TACATATAACATACAAAATATGTGTTAACTGTTTATGTTATCAGTAAGTTTTCTGGTCAACAGCAGGCAGTTCGTAGTTAAGTTTCCGGGAAGTCCAAATTTATTTGTGGATTTTCAACTGTGCAAGGGGTTGGCACCCTAACCCCCACCTTGTTCAATGGTCAACTGCACTATCTTTCCATGCTAAGAGCTAAGAAAACCCTGTGCTTCTTGGACTTCACATTTTTAAAAAATCAGCTTGAGATATAATTTATATACAATAAAATTCACCAATTTTAAGTGTGCAAATGATCATTTTTGACAAATGTATACAGTTAGGTAACCACTACTGCAAAATAAATAGATTCCATTTCTTTTACTCCAAACCCTTGTGGCCTTGGGGCATTGTATTAAAGATTTGAGTGCTACATATCTGCTTCTTGAAATTCTACCTGGGAGTGAGCAAAATAGTGTCTGGACAAAAATGTGCTTTTTTCTTATTCTCATAGGTGGGGATGGGACAAAACTTATGCTGAATGAAGGTTCCTTGACACTTTCACTTCACCACTGTGAGATTTAGTGAACTCACTCATGTATTGGAGAAACAAATCTCTGTGGTTATTACTGTTCACTGATTTAAATTTCCAACTTATATAAAAGGCATGACATGGGTGTTCCCACTTGTATTAGTGCTCAGATATGCTGTGACATTGAAGTTAAGTAGATCTGGCTCTGAATATTGCCACTAATGGTAGAAACCTGAAAAGAACTTCTTAGTTTCTAGGTTCTTACCTCTATAAAGTGGGAATAAAAGTTACTTCCTTTAAAGTGCTCAATGTAATGCTTGGCACATATTAGACCCTCAAAAAATTACAGCTCCAACAGTATATAATATGTATATTATAACATACTGCACAATAGGTAAAACAAATGAGCCAGTCTACATTTAGAAACAAAGAAAAATCTAGACAATGTAATGTTGGGAGAAAACTCAAGTTGCAGAAAAATGCCTATAACATGATACCATGTAAATGTGAAACACAATATTGCATGTTTTATATATATCTTTATATATTTTATAAAAATGCACACACATACACATACATAGTGAGAGTATAAAAATATGGATGAAAAGGACAACTTCAAAAGAGTGGTTCACCCCTGGGAGAGAAGTAATTAGATGTCAATAAGGGAGTAAAAGAGAGGGCCTTAATTCTTTCAGGCTTTATTTCTTAATAAGAAAAACAGGTATGAGGTAAATATGGCTTCTAACATTCATTGTGTCCTAGAAAGTAGATACAACATTTGTTACATCATTGGTGTTACTTATAGTTTCCTTTGTACTGTTTGTTCAAAACATTTCCTAATCAAAAAAAATTATTTTTTAAATGAGGGAAGAGAGAAAAACCCTCCATAATGTGGGTAGGCTTCATCCAATCAGCTGAAGCCCTTAAAAGAACAAAGACTAACCTTCCCTGAGCAAGAAGGGATTCTGCCAGTGTTCAGCCTTTGGACTTGAGCTGCCAGTCTTCCCTGAGTCTCCAGCCTGCTAGTCTGCCCAGCAGATTTGGGGCTCAACAAGCCTCCAGTCATGTGAGCCAGCTCCTTAAGACGTTGGCCATGGAAGGATCTTCAGGAAGAACTGCAAAGGCCCTAGGAAAGGGGCGAGTGTGGTGTGTCAGGGACAGAAGGGCAACGTGTGGGGGAAAGGAGTGATCAAGGCAGGGTTCTGTGAGGAACGTGGTTTGAGATGGATCTGGAGCAATAATCGGATCAAGCTGGACCAAAAAGTCCAGTGAAAGTTGAGACCCCATGGCCTCTGTGAGAAAAGCTTGCTGAGAGAGGAGCAGAAGTGGGGAGACTGTTTTTCTAGATGTGCTTGAGATCATCAAAAGATGCTCACAAAGTAGAGTTCAGTACTGCATTTCTGGATCTCTCTTGCACTTGGGATTTTCCAAGCTCTTACATCTAGGAGATCAGAGGCAATACCCTACTTTACTGCCCATTGAACTGGCACCCATGGCCAGATATTTGCCTCATCATGACCCCAAGTGGGAAAGGAAACCTGAGACAAAGATGTGGGGTCTCTGCTCTTCTTTGTCATCGCACTGAGTGTTAGTGCTTCCTGGGGTCTTGTCCTTGGTCTTCTCTTAACCATCTTCTCAGGGCACTCCTGGAAAATGTCATCCTCTCCCATGCTTTTCATTGTGTGCTGATGACTCTAATCCATTATCTCTAGCACTGATCTGTTAATCCAATTACCAAATGGATTTTTTCACATGACTGCCCCAAAGACATTTCAAACTCATCATAACCAAAATAAATTCATTGTCGCCCTTCTTTTTTAATCCCAGCAATCTCTGGATCCTCCTGTATTCTTTCTCCCAACTGATAGCATGCCACCTTCCACCCGGCTCCACAAGCCAGAGATCCAGTGGTCTTCATTTCCCTTGTCCTCTCCTACCCACTTCCATCCTGTCTAAAGCTAATGAAAAGGGTGAAAGTGTGAACTTCCGTGGGGAAAAATTAGCTGACCAAAACAGTAATATAAGAAAGGCAACTTATGGAGTGTATAACAGAAGGACGATGGCAAACCAGTACAGAAGAGCTACCATCCCATTATTTCAAACAGGGCTCGTGATCAATAAATAATTATAGGGGCGCCTGAGTGGCTCAGTCATTAAGCGTCTGCCTTCAGCTCAGGTCATGATCTCAGGGTCCTGGGATCGAGCCCCGCATAGGGCTCCCTGCTCTGCGGGAAGCCTGCTTCTCCCTCTCCCACTCCCTCTGCTTGCGTTCCCTCTCTCGCTGTGTCTCTCTCTGTCAAATAAATAAATAAAATCTTAAAAAAAAATAAACAATTATATTTCAAAAATATAAGATATGATCCTTCTTCTCTTTATCATAGAAACATGTGAAACTCTGTCTTCTTAAAACAGAAGAAAATGACTTACATTGAGTATATGGCTGTGTATTATTTCATTATATTGTATCATTTATTTTGCTTATAACTATGATAAATATTTATATAAGTGAAAATAAATGAATAACAATAGCAACTAATAAATTATTATATGTAAAACTCAAGAACTTCTTTTTTTAACCAAGGTTCCAACCGGAATTTTAGTCCAACTTTATCTTCCTAGCTTTTAGCAACTGTTTCAAATGGAATTGCCTGTTAAAGTACCAGGATTTTTAAACATTAATCAACACTTTCAATTTCTTTTTTTTTTTTTTTTAAGATTTTATTTATTTATTTGAGAGAGAATGAGAGAGAAAGAACACATGAGAGGGGGAGGGTCAGAGGGAGAAGCAGACTCCCTGCCGAGCAGGGAGCCCGATGCGGGACTCGATCCCGGGACTCCAGGATCATGAGGACTCGATCCAGGGACTCTAGGATCGTGACCTGAGCCGAAGGCAGTCGCTTAACCAACTGAGCCACCCAGGGGCCCAACACTTTCAATTTCTTATTTCCTGTTATTAAAATGAACTACCACCCTTGTAATCAGGGATGATAAGATCTTCTGCCCAATGACACAGAAACTATAAAGTACTGATTTTGTCAGTGCTTATCTTAAAAAGGAAAAAAAAAGGCAACATGAAACATTCATCTTTTACACTGATGTCACTCTTTCTTCCAATGTCTTCTGAACAGAATGGAAAGGAAGTAGGCTTATGACCTAGTCCTAAGAGGATAGAGGAGCTCCTCAGGGAATGGATAATTACTAAAGCCTGAATCACCAAAGAACACGTATTTTCAAGGAAAGCTAGACAGTTTTATAATGATCTGAATGTGAAAGCAGCCCTTTAGCAGAGGGCCTACTACAAATACTTTTTTTCTTTTTAGAAGTTTGCCATGTTAGTTGTTTGGGACCCTACTTTCGTGGAAATATTTGTGTGTGACATGATACTAATTAAGAGAGAAGCCTTCTGGGTGCCTGGGTGGCTCAGTTGGTTAAGCATCTGCCTTCGGCTCCAGTCATGATCCCAGGGTCCTGGGATTGAGCCCCGCATCAAGCCTTGAATTGGGCTCCCTGCTCAGCAGGGAGTCTGCTTCTTCCTCTTTCTTCCCCCATGCTCGCTCGCTCTCTCATATAATCTCTTAAAAAATAAAAAAAAATAAAAGAGAGAAGGCTTCAACATGATTCAAAACAAGATACCCTTTAGGACAAGTGTGCTCTGTGAAAGAACCTTATTTTTGTTTCAAAGTACTTTTGTTATACATAGAGCCAATTAATCCAATTCAACCACAGACCCTAAGGAAGCCAATTGAGGCAAGAAACCACTTCTTTTCCTGAAGTCCAAGAGACTGAGAGGACAGTGAAATGCGTGCTGGCTAGACAGAGGGCTTGAATTAATCAAGTGTCTAGGGTCAAATTAAGAAATGGTTTATTAGGTAATATCTGCTCAGGTTCTAACAAACTCACCTGACAGCTTCAACTGCTTAATGGAACCACAGACAAAAGTAACAGAATTTTCAGGTTAAAGATCATAAAATTCAACTCCTTCACTTAATAGGTGAGGAAAATGAGGCTCATACAACTTGTTACAGAGAAAGACGATTTGCTCAGTCACTCAACTGCTAATGGAGAGCTGACCCTTTGACGGCTAAACCAGTGCCCTGCCCACCACACCCAAGGGCGTATCTGACTCTCCCAGCTGTGAACGGTGGATGGAAGGCATTGCCATTTGCAGGAGATCACAATCAAGTGCCCTAGTGTAGGTGAACAGGAGGCACCGCTTTCCCCACCCACCCAGTGGTGTTTTATTTGTGGTGATAAATTACCCCACAGTACATGCTGAGACCACAACTGCTCACTGTTTTCTAAATCCGTCATGAGCTTGCAACTCACTGAGAAACCTTTGAAAAACTGCTTTGTGAAAATAATTTCAAAGACTCTTCTTGGGCAGCACAAATAAAAGGAAGCCTTTATTCTTTCTGCCCTCCTGGTGGATTAACAGACGAACACAGGTTCATCTGTCATCAGATGAGGTTCCGTCGAGGGCATCTGTGTACTCACCATGGAACCAGGGAGCTATGGTGTCTGAGGTTCTCTGGTAGCCCGCTCGCAGTGGTAGCTGCTCCTCTTTAAACCACCGAATGATGTCCTCCTGGGCAGAGTTGGATGCCATCCTGGTCATTCCCTGGTTTCTGTGATTTAGAAAACAGTTCAATTTAGGTTTAACTAATTTGAAAACAATGCCGTCAAAAATCATATATATCCTGTATATAAAAATCATGTATAAAGGGAGACAGGATTATATATATTTGAAGACCTAATTACATGGGTTGAGCTAATGGGAAGTCGGACCCCTAATTACTGCCATTATACAACTAACTCCTCAAGGGCTAGTCAACAAAATAGGAAGAAACATAAATCTGTCACTTGTCTTTCCAGTCCTACAGGGCTAGTCATAGGGTATGAGCTACTGCTGTGTTAATCTATTAATAATAATAGATTTTAATTCATTTTTATATGAATAAAAGCTCCATTAACTTCCAATTAAAATTTGAGAAAATAAACATTAAAAAGTGAAATACACCCCCAGCACTATTTTCCTTGGGAGCATGTTCTTGCAAACAAAAGAAATGCAATAAAATAAATTTCTTTCCTAACATTTTCAGTATTAAACTTTCTCTTCCTTCTGTTTCCAACCTCCCTGACTTGCTTTCTTCTCTCCCACACTTTGAAGAGGTTTGGTTCTGCTAAAGACAGTCTCAGAAAAATAAAGTCAAAGAAAGAAGAGTGTTTGAAAATTGGTAAGAAAAAGATACAAGCAGTGGAATCATTTTGAAATATATTCAGTTGCAGAACTAAAGTTCTGGGATGTAAGTCAATTTCCATTACAAAAAGTAACACTGCAATGTAATAAACATTTCCAAGTCTCATAGAACAGCCCACTAATTTTGAGCAGAATTCAGGGTAAAAACAATGACGAGTTTGGATGAATGACTGGGATGCCTGTCATGTAAATTAACTTATGGCTCTTTCTGCATTTTATGGTAACACATGGCCCCGCGAGTTACATGTGACATATGTCAGATGTACATATACGTGTGTACATATTCATATACACACATACATAGCATTTTGGAGAAGATAGCCTATATTTGACTTCTTTGGGAATCAGATCCTGCACACACATGAGATTACATGAGTGCTCTTATTAGCTTTCAAATTAAGTTCTTTTTCTTTGGGAAATCTTTGGAGTTTAAAGAAAAACTCTAAGGACAGCCAATCTCTGTCTTTTCTTGGGCTGGCTCCTAGCTGACCTTGGTCACATACTGTTGTCCCAGCCCAAAAACCATCCAGTCTGGATGTCTCACAAGAAGCATTTCATGCAAGTGTATTAAGTTGGAAAAACTGAGCTCAATCAGCACAGCTCGAAACAAGAACTGCCCTTATTAAAGGCCACCTTCACTGCTGTCAATCACATACACTGTGCACTAAAAATAGTGTGGGCCAGGGCATATTACAAGTCATAGTCACACCCCTGGAAGAGCCTGGAGAACAGGGGCAGGTACACAAACAGCCCTGCTGGGGATCTGGGGCCAATGCACACACCAGCTCGGGCACTGAAGAGGACCCTGGGCAGGAGCTCACACCGTTGTGACCTGGTCACAAAACTGCAAGGATACCTGTTTCTGATTACTTTTCTTAGGTTTTTGTCCCTAAGAAAAAAACCATTCTCCAAACTGTCACTTCGTAGAACATGATCTTTTAGTTCTGGTCTCCACATCCCAAAATGGAACCTTTCAGTTGAGTAAGTAGAAATAATTATAGTAAAGGAAAAGGTCCACCTTCCTGTTTCCTCTGAGGTCATAATCCCCATTAGGAAAAGCCTTGAAGATCACTACTGACTCCAAGCAAAGAGAGATTTGTTTGCTTTTTATTTCTCCATACTTGTAACAGAGAAATATTTTTGGTTTTCATTTCAGAAGGCAAGGCTTTAGATAGTTGTTTCATTCAATCACTATTTGATTCTTCTGGTATATTTTAAATAAGGTCTTTCTATATATTAGAATATGAAGAAATCATAATATCCAGGAGAAAATAATTTTAGAATCAGTTAACTAACATAAGGGAAAGGGGGTTTCTGCTATGATATCACTGTATTTTTCTTCAGGGATTCTACAAAACAAACTGTTCTACCTAATTTCCTATAGCCTAGGAGGCAAAGGCACCACCATGACCAAAAAAGTATTCATTCAGAGAAGGAACAGTTCCAAATTCTCAACATATGAACTTGGCTCTGTAACCCAGAATGAGGATTACCATCAAATCTTTAATCCTGAGCAATGAAAATATAACTCTATGATGCCATGAAAATCAGCAAGCCTTTAGGTTCCTACTTTGATATTGTTTCCTACTAAGAGCGATACTGAGCCCTGATGAAACCCCCATTGTTTCTGCTTCTCCCCTCACTGGCTCACCTACTGCCACTAGGTGGGGGTGGGGGTGCGCTGGTGGTGCAGGAAGGGACTGAACTCGATGTGCATCCTCTCTAAGTTATTGGGCATCTTAATTATAACAAACTATGGATATTTTATAGATAAGAAGAGGATGAATCCAGACGAGGTATCTGGGAAGACAGGCTTAGAGGTGAGGCTGAATTTAATTACACAGGCAGCCAGCTGGTCTTCCACTCCCCATGGCCCATAATGCAATTTGTCTTTAATCAGCCAGTTTCAACTGCTATGCTTAAAGCCATCTGTGTGGCTTCTTACCTAAGAGGCTTTCGAGGGTATCCTGCCAGGTTTAGGAAATGAGGCTTGGGTGGAAGGGGGGGTCTTTTTGGTTTCTGTGGAACACCTGGGGCGCTTTGTGGTCCCTCACCGCTTCTTCCTTTTTCAGCCGCTAGGGATAACCTCTTGTAGTCTTCCCGCGCTTGTTTAGCCAAAGAGCGTCTCTTCTCATCAGCTGCTTTGGATTTTCGCACTAGAAAAGCAAGGGGGTTTGAGAAAGGCCCTGGTCAGCCCACAGAGATGGTGAGAAGAATCAGCTGGTGAAGAGAGCAGTCTCTCAGGAGATCTGTCATCGGCTGATAATAACGAACAATCACTATCAACACCTAGGACTCACATAATTTGGGCCTGCACATTCACAATTGCCCAGCATTCCCTGCAGAATTCCTGTATTTCTAAGGGGGTTTTAGGACTTCCTAAGGGGGAGAAGGAGGAGGAGGAGGAAGGGAGGAGACAGAAATGGAGAACCACATGTTTGAGAATTCCCTGCACTTGGGTAAGACTAAGTGATGAGACACAGCCTGAGTGCGAATTCCAACTGGCTGGGAGCCTTTGAATAGGAAGAGGTGATATCACATCCCTCAGCTCAGCTCAGGACATCACTAGCAAAGATCAGGCTGTCAGGAACTGCTCGGCGCAGTGGCTCGTGGCTGTGCACAGGGTGAGAGATCGGAGAGGCTCACCACAGGTCACACTCAGAGCCCCCAAAGAGCTGAACCAAATGTGAATTGGCCTACCAGACCAAAAAAATAAAATGATTCTCACCACAATCAGAGAATGTGCTGGTACACATAAAAAGCACCCCAAGGCCACCTTTTAATGTTGCTTTGTAAAATAGAGGGTTTATTGTTTTGTTTTGTTTCTGTTTTAGCAACACAGTAGTAAAGAGCTCTAATGCAGGATGCTAAGACTAATTTTCATTGAGTGTGTTTGCACTTCATGTGCTCTTGGTCAAGCCCTGTTATGCTGGACTTCAAAGAGATGCCAAAAATATTCCATTACACTAGAATTTCACTGCATGGAAGTGACTGGATCTTGCAAATATATTCATTTCACAAAACTGTCATGTTAATGGTGTTCATTGTAATGGAAATGAAGACAGGATTCTCCACATCCTGCAAACATTGTCACTCCCATTCTCCTGTTCTTGCTCTCAAGTGGCCTCAAGGGATGACCTGGCTGGTAAACCTCTGAGTCAGCTGGAAACCCTCATCATGTCTCAGAGCTGCATTTTTCCCTAGCATCCCTGAGCATGCTCTGCTCTGCCTTAGCCTGCACTGACCTCTTCCTGAGGGGTTTTATCTCTGGCAGTGCTAACTCAAAAAGGAGTCAGGGTTAGGTCACAGGTATGGGAGGGATGCTGATATATCCAACCTGTTATTCCTGGGTTCTTCTATTACAAAGTTAAGGTGAGTTCACTGTTGAAAATTTAGAAAAGTACAGAATAACAAGAAGAATTCAAATAAATCTCAAATCCCATCCCTCCAAAAAAAGTTGTTAACATGTTAATAACCTTCCAGTTCTTTTACTATCCTAAAAGAGGGATATTTTTCATACTATTTTATAATATTTTTTTCTTCTTCAAGCGAAAAAAAGATACAAACATATCCCAAGGTCATTAAACCCTCTTCCAAAACATGTTTTTTCAGAGCTATATACCATTCCATCAAATAGCTATATCACAACTGTGATGGTACAAAGATGAATGGAGAACCTTTCTACTATTCAAGAAGTGACTCGTAAGCCTTTGTGTAACAACTTAGCAATAATTCTCTCAACAACCATTTTAAGTGCTTCTTAGATGGATCATTTGTTAAGAGAAGGAATTGGCCTGGAGGGTCTAGGGTGTTATGGAGGCCTCTGGGTACTCACGAGATGCCTGCCACTCTGAATCTTCTTTCCAGCTTTTATAAATCTGCTTGGTTTTCTCCTCATCTATTTGTTTTAGTTCTTCATCTTGTGTTTTCTTCACGGATTCTTTCTTCTGTTTAAAAAAAAAAAAACAAGAACAAAAACAGAAACAAACACTAGTGAGTACCTCTGGCAGTTTTCTGAGAGGAGGAAGAAGAAGAGGGGAGAGGAGGAGGTGGGGAGTCAGGGACACTGAGGGGCTGGTTTCTATGTAACTCCCTCTGGCCCCCTGGCTAGGCAATTTGGGGTTGGTGATACCTGAGGCTGACTTTATCAGGACCTAGCTGTGCGACCACATGGCCCATTACCAAACCTCTCTTAGGCTGTCTTCGCCTAAATAGAATTAGAAAATTGAAAATATTTCATAGGGTTATCGTGAGGGTTAAATAATATTTAAAAAGTGTCTCGCATAGTCTGTAACACATAGTAAGACTCAATAAATATTCATTTTCCTCAAACACAGCACTTAGCTGTTTTAAACTGAATTCCCTCAAGCAGTGTGTAAACACCGCTTCATGGCAGCAGCATAAACACTGCAGCACCTGACAGGCTCCATGACGATAACGGTATGTTTCTAGAGCAGCCTCAGCCGTGTCTCCGTGTGCCCTCAAACCATTGTGTCTAAAACGTGGTGCCAGGGCCGCCTGGCGGCTCAGCCCGTCAAGGGTCTGCCTTTGGCTCAGGTCATGGTCTCAGGGCCCTGGGACCGAGCCCCACACTGGGCTCCCTGCTCCCTTATCCCTCTCCCTTTGCCCCTCCCCCCACTGCTGCTCTCTCTCTCTCAAATAAATAAAATCTTAAAAAAAATTATTTAAAAATGTGGAACTTACACATGATTTTAGGTGACCCAAAAAGGAATATTTTTTGTTTAAAAAAACCTTTTTTTTACAAAGCATCCTCTTCAAGAAATATAAGAAACACGAGTCTTCCTTAAAAAGGCAATTTGTTTTTAAAATTGTAAAATATACATAACATAAAAATTATCATTTTAACCTTTTTAAAAATTGTGGAAGAATACACATAACAAAAACCGTGTTAGCCATTTTGAAGCGAACAGCTCTGTGGCATTAAGTACACTTGAAGGGAATTAGTTTTTAACTAAAGAAAAACTAACACACCAAATCACTTAGGTCTAAAAAGTACTTTTTTGGGTATTGCCTTCTGAGTGCTTATTAGAAAGCTGAATTTAGCACTTGGTGAACTAAATAAAAGCCTCGGTCACCTAAATAATGAAGCAAGTTGAGGGGGTCAGAAAAGACTGACCATGCTTCACTCTGCATCTCAGAATTGACAGGTCTTTTTTTTTCTTTTGTGTTTTCCTACAGAAAGATAAAGACAGGGGTGCCTGGGTGGCTCAGATGGTTAAGAATCTGCCTTTGGCTCAGGTTGTGATCCCAGGGTTCTGGGATCGAGCCCCGCATCAGGCTCCCTGCTCAGTGGGCTCCCTGCTCAGTGGGAAGCCTGCTTCTCCCTCTCCCTCTCCCTCTGTTGTTCCCCCCACTTGTGCTCTCTCGTTCCCTCTGTCAAATAAATAAATAAAATCTTAAAAAAAAAAAAAGAAAGATAAAGACATTCTTTCTGTTAAATTATTTTACCCAACTGAAATATAAACATTGATGTTGTGAAACTTGTTTTCCATCATTGTGGGAAGTCATAAATCACAGTTAATGTAGGAGGTGATCATTCATACACTGTCTTTCATTTCAGGTGTAACTAAACTTTTGTGTATTTATAATTTTCATTTTTTTTCTTACTTTCTTTCCTGCCTAGAGCTAAGGCCCCTTGGTTTCCTAATATTATAAAAACCAAAAAACCAGCTTTTGGTGTTTTAAATGACTGTTAAAATTTGCTATCACCTTACTGAAGCCATTTATAAACCTGAAATACATAAAAAGGACTGCTAGCAATTTCTAAGCTTAAACAGAAAAAAACTTAAAAGTTGAGCTTTGTTCATCTTCCACATGCATATTTTAAAATGATTTAAAATGGTTAGAAAAGAGCCATAACATTAAACCATGATAGCATGGATAGTGCTGCTTAGGAAAAGCAAGACGTTTACAAAGTGAATCTACTTCAGGAGAAATATTCAGTCACTAATAATGCAGGTGGTACATGGTTGATGACAATCAAATGTTGGGGAGTGCTATAGCTAGTAAATCATACTCCTTTTTAACCAGCAGTGTTATTATGTATGGGGCACAGAGGGAAAGGAGACACATTAATGAGTTTCACAGAGTAATGGATGAGATGAGCCCTGATCACTCTATTTATTCAGAGCAGCTAGAAACCTTATGGACTTGTCCTGACTTTCTCTAAGAATTCCTCCAGAAAATTTACTTTTAGCAAAATCTTTACAGGTTGGTCTTTACTTCCTCTACTTAGGAAACCAAACCATTATTTCGTGTTTAGAAGTGTTCGCAAGAAGCATATAGGTCCAGGATGGGGATGGTGAGCGCAAGCGTGTGAAAGTCAGGTAGAGGCTGAGGGGTGAAGGGGCAGCAGGGCTGAGGCTGGACACTGGTCCAAACACCCACAGGCTGAGGTTTAGACATGGGGATGGGCAGTTTGATGTCAAAACATCTCCCACAGAAAGACTCTCATCCCAGCCTGCTAATGGAAATACTTCCCACCGGTTTCCTCATTAGACCCTCTCCATTGCCTCCAAAGTCAGAAAGCTCTGTTTTATTATTTTTGTTCTACAGAGAAGCTGGCTAAGTGATCTATCTTCTTGTTCATTCTGTTGAGTTCCCATATAATTTCTTAAGTTAGAGAAGGAATGCATTCGCCCATGGCTCTGGGTGTTCTCATGCGAGGGTGTGAAGACTGAAAATCTGACTGTCTCACATCTAAAAATGCTTGAGAACCATTGAGTCTATCCCCCTTATTTTGGAGACAAGATTGCTCAGGCTCTCTCTTTTCCATCTAGACTCACTCTCTAAATGATCTCATCTTTCATCATGGCTTGACATAACACCAAGATACCAGATTCCTTATAAAAGTATACACGATTTCTCAGCCCTAATCTCCCTTCTCATTCACTGACCTCTCTGCCGTTCCTTGACCATGTCAAGCGAGCTCTTGCCTTCGTGCCTTCATACTTGGTATTGCCTCTGCCTGGGGCATAATTTCCCCACCATCCACATGGCTCCCTCCCTCATTACTTCAGGTCTCTGCTCCGGTAGTGCCTTCTCAGGGTAGCCTTCTCTGACCACATCTATAAAAAGCCAATCCCCACCCTCCCAGCATTCCTCAGCTCCCTTATCCTGCATTATTTCTCTCCACAGAACTTATGACCATCTGACCTCATAGATGTGCTTGTTGTCTGTCTCCCTCGTCCAGAATATAAGCTTCCTGAGGGCAAGGATTCTATCTGTTTTGTTCATGATGCTTCCAATGCCTGTAAAAGGGCCTAGCACATAGGAGAAACTCAAGAGATGTTGGTTGAATAAATACACAGATCCTTTGTTTTTCTATCATTTAAAATGAAACAATGTAATCCGGGCAGTGTTACTGAAATTCTCCTTTAGATGCTCTATTGTTTCTGTTTTAGAAAGGTACATGTTATATCAGCATGATGCACACTGGGACTACACTGCAGAAATTCATCATGGTTTCTCCAAGTCTCCCTGCAAGCTGTCCCAGTTCACGCATGTCCCTGCAGATTGCACTGTCCACTGGAACACGGGCCTCTGCCCCATCTCAGGCCTGTGGTCACTCAGAACCTTCTCTTTACAGCTCCGTATCTTGCACTACTTTTTCAAACTTTCTGCAGGTCTAATCCTACTATGGTTTCCAGCTGCCCATCTATGCTCCATTTATTGTGAGGAATGTACGATGTGATACAATCCAGCACGATGGAGGAAGCTGGCTCTGCCTGTCAGGGAATCACACCTGGATGGATGTGTGAGATCTGAGTGCCTGAAGGTGCTCCTAGCACAGTGGGCATGGATGGCACAAGAGGCTGCTCATCGAACAGGGTCAAGCTCACAGAAACAAGGAACACATAAGGAACTTAATCTGCATTCATGATTTCTGCCAAGGTAAATGCTTCATTTATTGCTCTCTGAAATCAGTCTTCCCTCAGTGTTCGCTGCAGCCCACGATGTTGTCTCTGTGTTAGATCTTCCATGAGGAGTTTAGCAGATATGTCTTGGCATCTGTTCTTTCCATGATACTCAAGACTTTTCCAACTCCAGATAAACAGGTATGAATAGCTATGTTCACAAGCTTTTAAAGACAAATTTCACATTCTGCTGCTTTCATTTCTGCATGAGACTAATACACCAATTTGTGAAACATTAGTGGAAATGGCTATGCATTTAGCCCCCTGAAGACAGAATGTAAGTCTTTACCTGGTGAAATCCATATGCCTTCATACGATTGATAGAATCTGCCAACATTTGTTGAATATTTCTTGAGGAACTGGAGAGTGACTAAAAATTAAATGAAACATGTTTTTATACCATTTAGAGCTACAATGCAATTTTAGTAGATAACCTGTTCGTGCTCCTCTCATTTCAATGTCCCCTAACGTGCCCCTGCCCCGCTGGTGGATGCACCCAAGTTTCCCACCAGCACCTGAGTTCCTGAGCCAATAATGACTGAGGCAGCAGGTATGCAAAGCCTCAGCGCCTTCCCACTCAGTAGGGCTTAGAAATGAATTATTGCTCAAGATCCTGGAGCTGGTGGTTTGCTCATGACAAGTGGGTTTCTGTATTTTATTCCCAGCTGGCCCTAGGTTCCCTGAATGACTTCTAGACATCACCATTATTCCTTAATTTAAATTCTCTTCTTCTCTTCATCCCTGCTCTACCTCATCCCCTGTTTTAGCTCAGACCAGAGAAACTCAGTCTCTGCCATTTAACTGCATATGCCTTGCTCCCTATCTAGGTAGGACCAGAGGCAAGACTGGAATATCAGTTCGTTGTGTAGGAGCCCTGCCCACTTTCCCTGCCTGATCGCACTCCCTCCCCTCCTCTCCCACCACTATTACCCAGACCATTGTCTGGGTTTCTGCTGCTCCAGACAGATTTCCCAGGAGGCAACTCCTGCCAGTGGGGTTCCCAGATCCATTGCCTGGATTCCCTGGTGTCACTCTTGCCTGCCACATGCCAACTGCTCAGGCATTGCGACTGATCTGGCATATCACACTGAGGGCCTCTTTAGACCAGGTCAGTTACCTGGTCCCTGTCACCCTGTCCCTGGCCCGAGCGCAGAGTCTGGGCCAAGTCCCAGCATGAAAAGCCACATGCCCCATACAGCTTAATAGAGCCACCTGCAGCCCAGGATTTATGTGCCTTGTGCCTGAGGATTCACTCCTAAATTTTGGTATCGATCAGAAATTGTCAGTAAATTTTCAGAAAAATGTTGGTACCAAGATTCAGTGTGGAGCACAGAGGATACTTTAGGGTCATTACTATGCCATGTGATAAAACAGTGTGGCTACCTCAATTTTACCCCCTTTTTCACAGTAGCTACACTATATTTCCCAGCTGCCCTAGCAGCTAGGTGTGCCCGTGGGAATATGTTATCTCCACTATAATGCAGGTGATAACTGGTATTTGCCACTTCTCTTCTAGCCCTTAAAACCTCCTTAACACATGCCTCTAGACCACTTCCCCTTTCCTTTGGGCTGAAATGGTGATCACAGTTATGCTACTGCTAAAGACAGGAGAGCCATCAAAAGCCCGGTCCCTAACTGACTGTATGGACCTGGGCCCTCCTGAACCAGAACCCATCCTGGATGTTGTAAGACAGAAAAATGAACTTCTGTTGTGTTTTGACCATTGCGGTTTTGGTCTATTTGTTACAAAAGTTTCGTCTATCTTAGTTGATAAAACTGGCCATGGCAATTGCTGGTGGTACCCTTCAAGCCCTCTGTTGGGCATTTTGACTATTATGGGGAGTGCTATTAGTCATGGAAGGTCCATTATGACCAGGCACTGTGCTAGTGACTTAATAAGTATTATTTTTCTTTCTCACAACATCTCTGATGGATGGGCAACACAATGCCCAATTATCAGAGGAAGAGGCTGAATGGCAGAGGAGTTGTGTATCTGGCTGGCATCACACAGCTGATTTGTTCCAGAGTTTATACTTTTTCCACTATGTCAACATTGTAATGATAGGAAATGAGTTGTAGGTCAAAAGTTTCTTTATGCTTATTACTTGGCAAAAAAAATGAATCCTACAGGTTTCACAAATACTACCTACCATATTCTGTCTTGTTTTTTAATATTATAAAAGGATACATAACTGCTTTGCATCCAAAATAGTACAGTCAGCAGTTCTTATTTATGAACAGGTTAGAACTGTTCCAACAGGTTTTGTGTATGTCTGCTCAAAAGCCCAGTGTAATTTTGAAGGGTTTGGACTTGCAGCCTCTGAATAAATGTCCACCATAAGGAATGTGAGCTTTAAAAACAGGCTCACTCTCCCTTTCTTCAATGATATAAGATCTGTGGGGCATCATTTTGCAAAAAGGATCAGTTTCTTCTATGTTGAAAATTAGGAGGCAGGTAACCACCCTCTCTTGCCTCCTCAAGCACCGTAGATAAGGTTCCAGCTACAGTAGCTATACAACCGCCTCTCCACTGGTTTGTCACAGGACCTGGACCCATGCAGCTGGCAGAGCTTTGGACCAAGGATTTGTCAGTGGTACGTCCACCACACTCAGCCTTTAAGCTCTCGAACAAACTCTCAGTTGTTTCCTGAATTAGCATCAGGCTAACAGGTATCTGACATGTCTCTTCTAACATATATTTTACTTTGTCAAACATTATTCCCCCTATCACTTGCCAATTACTGTCATGGGTATAATACTTTAAGCATACTGTATGAGTTATTCTTTGTCCCTTAGAATTATTTGTTCAACTGAATGATTCATCTTATATACACATACAACATTGTTTCCTCAACACTTGCTTTTTTTTTATTAATTTTTTTTTCCATCATTTATCTATCACCAAGGGCAGACTACCCCAAGATGGACCACTTTGGCATGCAGATTATTTTTGAGCTAAAAGCAATCAAAACACAGCATATTCAGGAAAAGCTCTTTACCTCCCCACCTCAACTGCCTAAAAGAATTTAGATAAAGGACCTGCTCCAGGAAGAGAACTATCGCTGTAGATAACTACATTATACTATGAACTAGGTATGGCAGAGAGGGAAGAACAAGCAAAGCCTGTTTGATCAAAGTCCTCTAGGTCCCATTCTTTTTGAGTGGCCCAGCAAACATTTGTTCACCAAACACTCCTTTTCATCTTCCTGTGAATTGCATTCCTCCCCTTTAAGTCCCAGACCCTTAGCCTCTTTCTCCTTAGTTCAGGATGATATATATATATATACCTCATTTTGCTCGACTGTCTTTGGAATTTCCATGTCTGTGTGGGTTTCCCATACATATGAAATTAAATTTGATTTTCTCCTGTTAATCTGTCTGATGTCAATTTGATTCTTACTCTGGCCGGAAGGACCTTGATGGGCAGAGGAAATTCTTCCTCCCTGACACCAGCATTTCAACATTCTCGCTGCTTTTGCACTTATCAGAAATGATGAGGTTATTCCTATTCTTAAGATAATTCAAAACTAAGCACAGGCACATGAACCAGACAATGAAATGGATGTGATGCTGGGGACTGATGGGACGAGTGTGACCATCAGCACCATCTGCTGGAGCCAGTCAGAGTTGCCTGTCTTTCTTTGTCAGAAGGTTTCGGTTCTGTCTTCAGTATACCAAAGCTCAAAGTTGGTTCTTGAGTAGAAGAGTCTGAGCATAAATAATTTCGATTAGTTTAACAACCACCCAGTTAACAACTACATGATACTTCTACTGAAGTACTTCTATATGTTTAAAATATATTGTAAACTCCAAAACTATTCACATATACTAAGAACCACATTTATGAAAATTCTAATTTTCAAGGTGAATCAAGATTTGCCATTATTCCAAAGTGCTAAAATAATAATGTGGAGAACTAATCAAGACTTGTGTAGAGCAGGTTCATTCGGATACACTTACACGTTCTATAAATCCATGAAATACAAGTTCAAGTTCAATGTAATAGACTAACAATAGTATATCCAAAAGAGATTTCCTTTATTGAAAAACAAAACCAGATTACAAAGACTCAAAAGTGATGATTAATGACACCAATACCAGCTGGAGACAATCTTAGGAATACTGTTGCCACTTTGAGCATTCTCAGAGTGAAGATAAAGAGGCTTCTCAGAAAGGGTACCACCCGTCTGAAGCTTCCATATGATGTTGTGCTCCAAGGAATATACTCTTTAGTTATTCCTATTTGTAACACAAGGAAGAGAGGAAAACTACCACCTACCTGCATAATTTTTGCTTTCAAAGCACTTTCAAGTCCAATATATCATTTGACCTTCATTACCAACCCCACAAGGGTGTCAAAGCAGGTACTGTCCCTTTACCAAAGAGCAAAGCTGACCTGTTAATAGGTAGGAAAGCAGAGACTGAAACCCATGTCCTTTCCATGTCTACACCTTGCTCTTTCCATGGGGTGTCTCAGAGAGAACAGATGTTCGTCCTCATGCATACAAGCCTCTGCAGCCACCTCCCATTTGCTACATTAAAGATGTGTCTGCAGCTGCTGAAACTCTAGGGGCAAAGTTAAAGCAATCTTACCTGCTTCATATTTCCCTTATTTAAAAATAAAAACTGCCATCAAATATTTATGCAAAAGCTCCACAAAATAAAGTGAAAACTTGAATGTCAGTGACATCAGAAGCTAGTGGACTTCCTGCAGATACCGAGTCAGAATGGTCCCCTCTAGTCAGCACAGGCCCAATTAGATCTGGGAGTGGAGCCCATCTGTATTGACCAAAGGGTGGTATGAATGTTTATATATAAGTATATTTTAATTACCATTAAACTTAAAAGCATGGCAATTCAAATCTATATAAGCAACTGGATTATCAAAAGATGCTGTAGCATCAGTATTACATGGTTACAAATTACATTTTCCCCCAGAGACTACGTGTCCTATGAGGATTATTCTAGTTCTATTCACTTTTAAAATGTGATTTGAAAAATAGTTCGTTCTGGCTTTTAATTTATATTCACTCTGTTTAAAAGTAGGATTATGCAATTTATTAATTCCAAATAAACCAGAAAGCTCCAAAAAACAGAAAATTTTTTAAGAGCTGAAATGTATTTTTTATTTGCCTGAAATTCATACACATATGCCGCACTGTATTTCAAAACCAATTATATGGTTTTATTGAGTGGGTTCTCATGCCCCACTGTTTGTTTAGCACAATCATAGGTATTGTGACAGAAATAGAAGGAATACTTTTTTTATACTGCAAATGTTTGGAGGTAGCTTACAAAAACATATACAATAAAAATGACAAAGATAAAAATAGGTAAACTGCATGATCGGGGAAAACAGATAGGATATGA